TGTGGGGGCGTGTTTAAACGAGGCATTTTAGGAGGGTGTGGACGAGTCTTAACTTTTATAAAGAATATCTCTTTGGGTTTGAGACTTTAGTCTTTGCAACTTTAGGGATCTTATCTATTCACGAACAGCTTGTAACACTCCAAAGAGAAAGGAAAAATTTAAATTGCATTGCAAATTTGAATGATCATGCATTTGGCCCCATTCACCAGTAACAGCAGATTATCAGTGAATCCCAGTTGTGTCCGATGAAAGTTTGTAAATCTATCACTGCAGAGGCGGGTGTTGGTGGGGATCCTCAGCTCTCCATCTCTTCACAAAATTAACCCACCTCTTCTTACATGACGAAGGCATATCTTCATAATCAGTACTACATAGTTCACGGTCTTTGTAATGTGTTTTCAGCATTACATTTCTAATATTTATAATATGTTTAGAAACAATTCTCTGAATTGCCTTTACACAGACTTTAAATATGACAGTAATGTGTGTTAACAAGAGCAGTGCAACAAAATGACGAATTTCAAATGATTGCAAACAATGTAAGGATTTATGTTCTTGCCTTTACATTGTACTGTGCGATAGATTTACTGTGATCATTATGAAATAAGGAGGCAGGTTACCAGTAGTGCAAGAGGAAGAGGAATGAAGCCCATCCTCCTAGACACACTGTCACTGTAGTCTGTGTATGCCTGGAAAACACACACAAATATCAGCATCTGATTTATAAAGCTGGATGAAATGCACTTCAAATAAAGTCAATGTAATCAGAACCATGAACAAGAGGAGACAAGCCACTTCTTGAAATTAAAATAATTTGACATTGACATTCAGGGTTCTGCTTCAAAAGGGTTTCTGATATGATAAAATGGACATGCACTTACATTCTTCTGTCTGCTGCTGACCAGATCAAATGCCAAGCTTGCTCTGTATTCACTGTAGACCTGCACACACACACACACACACACAGTTACAAGTTATGATGACTTGTGGTTCAGTACTTGATGAAGTTAAGGCGATTTCACACGGGATGGAATCGCCGCTTTGTCTCGTAGTGGAGGCGTTTTGTGCAGTTGAGGTGGTGCTCGCGTCGCGGTCTTACATTACCATAGTTACAAACAACAGATCACATTTGTATTTACTAAAAACTAACTAAATAAAACATAACGAAAGTTTTGTGTTGGTGATATTTGCTATTTATCATTTCATGGGAATATGACAGCGTAATCTTCATGTCAGACAGTTAACGATGGCATTTTACACGTATTTGTATTTCACCTAACAAACTCGTACATTGATACTGGATTTTTTGTATTTTTTATATCTCTGTAAGAGATTTACGATGAATCACATAACTCTGGGGATTCCATTACATTTAAAACGATCTTCATCATATGTTCAACACTCTGACATGAGCTCGGTGAAATGTTCCATGATTAGTTGTTAATAATCTGTTCAGTAATTGGTTAAAGCCGACAAGGTAACAAGGGTGTTGTTTTAACCAAAGTATGTTGCAGACATTTAATGAAGACCCTAAAGAATCATATCAACTTGTGGAAAATGGGCATATGATGTCACTTTAATAACAAGTAGAGTTTGGTTGAAATGCTGTTTCTGATTTTTTTTTAAAAAGACACCTTTTTGAGCAATTTAATAATCAAAAATCATAAACATTAAGATGTATACTGAATATGGTGCAATTGCTGGAAATTATCCCAAAATAAATATAGTGTCCACCTCTAGGAACGATGCTGTATGAGAGAGAAGAGTGTGCATGTGTGTGCTGTGACACTAATCTTCCTGCCTAAACTAAGCAGATCTGTCTCTAATCCCTGCCAGTAACTACACTCCTTATTCTGTCCTTACATACATCTCTACACCCCATCCACAGTTAAGTTCGCCTGCTCCACCCCTACTTTTCTCATCTTTTCCTTCTCTTGTCCCTCTTTCAGACCCATGTATAAGGACTGTTTAGTTTGTAGTGGCACTTATCGTTAGGGATGCACCGATCCGATACTCACTATCGGTATCGGTTCCGATACTGTCATTTTCTGCCGGATCATGTATCGGTCAGACGAGACCGATATTGTGCGTATACTATTCTGTGTAATTGTTAAGCCCCACCAAAGGCACAAAAACATTATAAAGCACCTAAAGTTTTCGTATCGGCCGATACTCAGAATTTTTGGTATCGGATCGGTTCTGAAAAAATGGTATCGGTGCTTATCGTTCATCTTATGAGTAGAGAGTAGAGGGGCTCTGTACTGGACAGAATCCGTGAAACCTTTCCACTGCTGGCTCTGTGTGCACTGATAGATCTGGGTCAGTGGATCTGTCAGGGTTTCCAAGACACTGAGAGCGGTGCTGATTTTCAGACACACTCCCAAAGGAAACCCGTCTCTCTTTGTAAAGACTTCCTTTCGACTGGGACAGAGGTTTTTGTTTTTCAGACAAGAAAGAACAGTCCAGTATCTGCGCTTGGGGGAGCACTTTGGCTTAAATAAATAGGTCATGTCATAGTTCTCACGTTGTTTTCTTTAGTTTTTTTCTAGATAAACGTATGCATATTAGTGTCTTGTCATTTCAATAGCATTAGGTAACGCTTACAAACCTTCCCTTTAAAATAAGCCCTGCATCACTAATGCATTTAAGTTACAGGACTTCATTTTATGATCGTTCATCCAATGCTCTTTTTATCTACCTGCACTGCTTCACATAAGTTTTCTCAATATCTTAACAGAAAATTTCCCCCGAAATTGTAAACTACCCCTTTAATCACAATTACAACTGTATAATACCAGCAGAAGTGTCACGATAACAAGTAGTATGATGATACATGTTGTATGGATGTGATTTTTGTTATTCAATTTTATATTATTAAATATTATTATTTATTTGTATTTAATATTGCACAAAAAAAATCTAAATTCTTTTAAATTGTAATAATATTTCACAATATTATAGTTTTTACAATATTAAGCCAAACTTGTACATGTACATGGGTCAAAGACGAAAAAGGGTTTAAGCATAAAAACAATAAGTGTAATACTGCTTTAAATTGTTGTTGTTTTTCCCAACATTTTTAAAAAAGTTTTCTGTTTAATTTAATTGCAATTTTGTTTTTGTTCTTCTGAGCAAAAAAAATAAATATCATACATTTTTCCCTGATTTACAGAAGACACGCACTAAAATGTCATTCAGTGTAACATTCTTGTCAGGCATATTTACAACTCAATTAACTAAAAATCAATTTATGACATATTAAAAGACTAATTACATTCACCCCAAATACTAATTAGTTGTAATTTAAAATTTTTAAAATTTGCCACTATCCTAGTCACTTTTGTAAATTTCTTTTGATGCGGACATCTTAACGTCTTTTTCCACATTTTCCACATTTTGGTTAAGCTAAAAATCCTGGTATAATGCATATCCTGGTAGCTACTTAAATATCGTATTTACGATACTACCGTTTGAAGAATACTATGGCACTGCCAGTATTTTGAGGCTGGTATACCATGCAACTCACATCTGCCGTGATGTCGTTAAACTTGGTGATGAAGGCATGTTTGACAACGTCCACTGCAGTCTCCGAGGCGATCACCATACAGACATCAGGAAACAACACCCATAGATGATCTGTGACCAATAATCAATGATTAATACACACATCAATGTCATGTATATGCACACACTGAAATGCGTCAGCTGTTAACTAGAGATACCTGGATTCCAGGAGAACTGCTCCATGTTTCTGAGACAGACGATTAGTAAGAGTGTGTAGTTTGTAAATCTTTCTTTAATGTCTATAGTGTGAAAGACAGAAAGTAACAGTGAGACAATTCATTGGTGACAAGTTGTGACAGACATGTTTTCATTTGCTAAATATACAGTATATGGACCTACCGCTATTGGACATCTGGAAGAGGTTGTTTTTCTCAAATTTCTTGAATACGCTTCCTTTGATCTCAACAAACTACACAGAGAAAAACACATACATCAGTATAGACCCTACAAAAAGTTTCTGTTCCTGCATAATGTAATATAATGTAACATGCAGAGATTAATGTCATTTGGAGTGTATTTAATTTAATGTTACTGGCATGCTAGCTTGTGCTTGTACTCACATTATTAGACATCATGATGGTGAGCAGCGACTTGTTATGTGAATTGAAGGCCACGTTCAGTGTGGTGGCCTGAACCATAATCAGAATGGCATGCAGAACTGCATTATTAATTAAGGAAAGTTATAACCTATGACTGATTGTAATATGTCAAATATGACACAAAACTTGCATTGAAATTAAATAGTAAAAAATGAATTTAAAAATAACATTCAGCAGTTTCAAAGTCATTTAGTGCTGTCAAACGATTAATCGCGAGAAAAATCGTTTTTGTTTACATAATATATGTGTGTACTGTGTTTATTTACTATGTATATATAAATACACACACATACAGTATATATTTTGAAAATATTTACATGTATATGCATTAATATATTTATATTCTTATATTTTATATTATATATAAATATATTTAATATATAAACAACATATTTTTCTTAAATATATGCATGCATGTGTTCGTAATAAATATACACAGTACACACACATATATTATGTAAACAAAAACTTTTATTTTGGATGCGATTAATCGCGAT